TTCACTTTACTTTTTATTTTGTCTTTATCGTTAAAACTCAAAATTTTCAAGTTATTTTCATTAGTTTTTATTTTTTTAATCATTTCTTCAGCACCCCAAATTGAGCATGGGCCTGGACCCAATAATTTAAACTCGGGCCAACCCATCGACAAGCACGATACCGTTGTGCAATATGCAACATTTTGGATCTATCACATATCACCATATATAGATGATGAGTCATCAAAACGTTTTTTAGGGCAAGTACGATATTCATTAGTGCGAAAACTATGTGTATATATCGGAGGATAGGGTGCATATCAATGGGCCTCAATAAAAATTTTGCTAGGAATTTCAACCCGATCGAAGGAAAAAAGAACATCCCGCATCAATCAAATTACATACTTGTACTATCCTAAAAAGAACAAGATCTGAAATTACATATGGAGCTTCCTCAAACCAAATATGTTGTGATGTTCTAATGTCAATCCCAATTTTGCTAATCTATGAGCCACTTTGTTTGCCTCCCTGCAAGAATAAGAAAGTTTCGTGTGGGGATAGAACACATAAAAAAGCGGGCATCCTTCACAACGTGCCCCACTGAAGAAGGATCATCAGCCTCCTCCTCGCCCCCGTTCTTGCCTGCAAGCTAAGCAAACAATTAATGCATCAACAACCAGTTTCCAGAATAGATGGCCATAAGGCTCTATTCTAACAGCCTCACATATGTCCTTAAAAGTGCCACTTTTCCCAGTTTATATTAAATGAACCTCCTACTGATTAGAATTTGTACATGAAGCACTACCATGGTTCAGAGTTGTTACCAAGAATCTATCATATGATGCCTGCTCCAACCATCCTCCACCAGAAGTAAGCTACACCGTATCATCAATTTCTCCACGGTATCTTCCTCTAGAACAGTTAATGAATCAGATGGTTGCCTCCGTGATGGATGACCCTGCAGTATCCAGATAATAAAAATCAATTATTATTCAACCACAAATAAAGTAACAGTTTGTTAGTCACTCAAAATAGAAATAGCACGTTAGATCTCCCCAATTTACAGAAAGAGTGAACTTGAACTTGCCACTACAGCACTTCAAAGTTATAAGTATCACAAGCAGACGATAGTGCCTTACTAGCTCCGCTGTCATACATTTTGCCGGTTGACTATTCCAACCATCCAATATTCTGGCCTTCCAATCTATTGATGATCTAGTCTATGTTGAGCAGCCTTAACAGATGCAAGCTGAAAGCCACTGGAAAAACAGAAAGGATCCTCACATATATGCATTTAACTTAGATTAGTTTTAAGTAGAAACTACATTCATTTCGGACAAAGTACCTGTCTTCGTGCAGCCCTCGTTCCCCGCTTGATCATGCTGAAATGGCCAGGAACGTGTCCCTCAAACTTCTTAAAATCTGTAGATACAGTAAACATGAGACCATACATTGCTAAGATTAAAGGCTTGGACTGTTCGCAGACCTTATCCAAAGTTAACTAAATATGTATGTATATACAATTACATAAATACACGCACAGACACAAATTACACAAGGATGCATACATATAATTGATAATCTATACTTCTACTCACTCTGAATGCAATATCCATACTTACAACCTCTCAATCGAAATCTAACGGTTGACGTCTACATCCTGGTAGAGAGAACGTTTCTTTTTTGGAAAATTATCAGTTATTGGATGAAGGCTGGAGAACAAAAACATTTGTACTCATTGGTGAAATGTAAATCATGATTAGGAGGACCAGTAGATATGTACCAACTTATAGGCAGGTTCATAATATTCTGACTATATATATAAGTTACGTTCAAAATACGAGGACCTGTAATTAATCTTGAATGTAACATAGATTGCATTGCCATGACCAAAGATAAATTAGACACAGTGCTGAATTACAAGAATAATCAATTAACAATGTACTACGGGCAATTTGATTGTCGTAAAAGGAGTGTTTGGATGAGGGATTTGAAAGTGCCGAGGGCTTTAGGCTAAATTAGTTAAAATTCACTACAAAATATTAGATGGAAGGATATGAAAGACTAGATGCAATGCATCGAGAAGGATTTGTAAATGACAGCTTGAAAGGAGACATTTAAAAATACTTTGTTTGTGTGCAATGATCATGTAGTGCGTTTCAATATCTATGTCTACTGCTTTGTAGATGAAGTCCCTCATCCAAACAGAGTGAGAGAACTAGGAGTTTTAGCATACACAAGTCACAAGTCATGTGTTATCTGTCGACGTGATAACAAAAGTCCCTCACCTCCACTATAAGGGCTTGTGACATCATTATGTGTGCATTATCAGATTCATTGCCCTTCTGTCTATGATAACCTCTGGGAAGACTATGAAGACCCTGACAACAGAATATCTACGCATCAAAATCCAAAAAGCCCCATAAGCGAAGCATTTTCAAAATTTCAGACTATATGAGCACAAGCATTGCAGGTGATCCGGAACGATGTGTCAAAACCTGTTAGCGACGTCTACATTAAACTCCTGAAAACAATGGTCGTATTGTAGGGTCCTCACGGAACAACCTTGATATAACAAACAAGTAAGGCAGACTGTGCTGCCCTTCAATAGAATACCAAGTATCCTTACATACATGCATCTATCTTAGATTAGTTTATGTAGAAAGTATATTCATTTTGGACAAAGTACCTGTCGATTGATCTATCAATAAAGTTAGCAGCATGTGCTGCCCTTCAAGAACAAATTCCCTGGTTGATCCTGCTGAAATGGCCAGAATAAGTTACTTTCAAAATACGAGGACCTGTAAATAATCTTGAATGTAACATAGATCTATCAATTAAAAGGCAAAAGAATACCTAAGTTACAAGACTAATCAATTAACAATATACCACAGGCAATATGATTCTCTTAAACATAAAGTTGGGATGAGAGATTTGAAAGTGTCAAGGGCTTAGGGCTAAATTAGTTGGAGGGATATGAAAGACTAGATGCAATGCATTAAGAGGGATTTGTAATGACTGCTTGAAAGGAGACATTTATAAATACTTTGTTTATGTGTGTAATGATCATGTAGTGCATTTTAAATGTCTATATCCTTCATCCAAACATAGGGTGAGAGAACTAGGAGTTTTAGCATACACAACTCACTGACATAGGACAATACAAATTAAGGCAAAACAAACAGATGTCAAAATCCAAAATGCCTTACTTCTTTGAGTCATTATGTGTGCATTATGCCCTTATCAGACCCCTTGCTTTTTTGTTTATGAAAACTCTGGGAAGACTATGAAGATCGTGAGGAAAGAATATCTCCGCATAGAAATCCAAAAAGCCCCATAAGCGAAGCATTTCCAAATTTCTGAGTATACGAGCACAAGCATTGCAGGTGATCCTGAACCATGTGGCAAAACCTGTTTGCGATGTCTACATTAAACTCCTCAAAACAACGCCCGTATTGTAGGATTCTCACAGAACAACTTGAAATAACCAAGAAGTATGGCAGACTTCCATAACGAGTGGAGATATAGAGCTCATGGTTCAGATTGATGCCTTGCATTGGTCCTTCGGAAACCCTGAAATAAAATTAGAAAAGGAATCTTGTGACTTATTGCTCTTTTCTTAATTTATTCATATTTGTCCAGCCAATCAAAGTGGTAACAAGTTAGAAACCTTGATTCTAAGTTCCAAATGTAGAATATCAAAGTACCTTGATTCTAAGCGAAGCATTTTCAAAATTTCAGACTATATGAGCACAAGCATTGCAGGTAATCCGGAACGATGTGTCAAAACCTGTTAGCGACGTCTACATTAAACTCCTGAAAACAATGGTCGTATTGTAGGGTCCTCACAGAACAACCTTGATATAACAAACAAGTAAGACAGATTGTGCTGCCCTTCAATAGAATACCAAGTATCCTTACATATATGCACATATCTTAGATTAGTTAATGTATAAAGTATATTCCTTTCGGACAAAGTACCTGTCGATTGATCTATTAATAAAGTTAGCAGCATGTGCTGCCCTTCAAGAACAAATTCCCTGGTTGATCCTGCTGAAATGGCCAGAATAAGTTACTTTCAAAATACGAGGACCTGTAAATAATCTTGAATGTAACATAGATCTATCAATTAAAAGGCAAAAGAATACCAAAGTTACAAGACTAATCAATTAACAATATACCACAGGCAATATGATTCTCTTAAACGTAAAGTTGGGATGAGAGATTTGAAAGTGTCAAGGGCTTAAGGCTAAATTAGTTGGAGGGATATGAAATAAAATTAGAAAAGGAATCTTGTGACTTATTGCTCTTTTCTTAATTTATTCATATTTGTCCAGCCAATCAAAGTGGTAACAAGTTAGAAACCTTGATTCTAAGTTCCAAATGTAGAATATCAAAGCTCATAAGAATTAGAAACAAAGAGAAGATTTCAGAGAGTTTTACCTTCACTGGTTTTCTCCAACTCCCATTATTTCCATGTCAAATGGGGAAAAATCGTGTTTAATCCTTTCTTCTCATCGCTATTGAATGTCGATGTCAACTCGAGCTCAACCCTTTTCCATACCTCATCTAGAAAAGATGGTCCTGATTCAAAGATGAAGAAATAATGATTTATAAAGCGATCTTAATTACTTGTGCAAGTTTGACAATCTGGACCTTTTCCTTTTGTTATGATTCACGCATATAATCCATCGACAATGATCATGAAACAAGAAAAGAAAAGGAAACGTAAGTTACACTCCAGTATTCAACAACTTACGATGGAATCTGTAAGAGTGCAGCAGCCAGCCAAATTCACACGTTGTTTTTGTGCAGAAACATATCGGCACCTATGTAAAGATGACAGATGCAATGAAAGATGAGTAAGCATTCCACCGTATTCAAACCACAACAGTAAGAGGAAAAAAAAAAACATCATCAAGGAGTTACCTCGTCCTGTGCAGGAGAATCATATTGGTGTCATAGCTAGCCAGAGCACCCAATAACTTACTTGGAGTTACCTCGTCCTGTGCAGGAGTTACCTTGATTGATTCTCGTTTGATTGCTTCAGTCCAAATGCTAGAAATAAAATAAGGTGTTTATGAGGATTAAAGGGTGTGCAAATATCACTTCCCCAGATTTATGATCCAACTATTCGGAAGCTGGCCAGCTTCTCAAGAACGCTTTCTCCTCCGAATCAGCAGTGCCATACAGAGAGAAATCCAAAGAAGGAAACGACTCCCATATAGGAGTTTTATGCAGAAACTGGGGCAGCCTAATACTGGCAACGTGGATGCAAACCTACTTTCTCTTCTGATGTCTAGAAACTTCAATTAACCTCAGGACATGAGCTCCATGCTTTCTTCAATGCTTTCACAAGGTCTAGAAGATCTGCGTGTTTTCTTCGTTGCTTTCAGGAGTCTGGGGAACCTGCAAGTTCTCTTCATTGTTTGCAAACCAAGTTCTGGAGGGCCTCTGGCTTCTCGCCCGTTCTTGCCTGCGAGCTAAGCAAAAAAATTAATGCATCAACAACCAGTTTCCAGAATGCATGACCATAAGGCTGTATTCTAACAGCCTCACTTATTTCCTGGCTATAACATAAGTCAATAATTTCCTTTCCGGAATGAAATAAACTTAAAAGTGCCACTTTTCCCAGTTTATATTTAATGAACCTCCTCCTACTGTTTAGAATTTGTACATGAAGCGCTATCATGGTTCAGAGTTGTTACCAAGAAAATTTCTATCATATGACGCCTGCTCCAACCATCCTCGACCAGAAGTGAGCTACACCGTATCATCAATTTCTCCACAGCATCTTCCTCTAGAACAGTTAATGAATCAAATGGTTGCCTCCATGATGGACGACCCTGCATCATCCAGATAATAATAATACATTATTATTCAACCACAAATAAAGTAACAATTTGTTAGTCACTCAAAATAGAAATAGCACGTTAGATCTCCCCAATTTACAGAAGGAGTGAACTTGAACTTGCCACTACAGCATTTGAAAGTTATAAGTATCACAAGCAGACAATAGCGCCTTACTAGCTCCGCTGTCGTACATTTTGCCGGTTGACTATTCCAACCATCCAATATTCCGGCCTTCCAATCTATTGATGATCTAGTCTATGTTGAGCAGCCTTAACAGATGCAAGCTGAAAGCCACTGGAAAAACAGAAAGGATCCTCACATATATGCGTTTAACTTAGATTAGTTTTAAGTAGAAACTACATTCATTTCGGACAAAGTACCTGTCTTCGTGCAGCCCTCGAGAACAAATTCCCTGCTTGATCATGCTGAAATGGCCAGGAACGTGTCCTTCAAACTTCTTAAAATCTGTAGATACAGTAAACATGAGACCATACATTGCTAAGATTAAAGGCTTGGACTGTTCGCAGACCTTATCCAAAGTTAACTAAATATGTATGTATATACAATTACATAAATACACGCACAGACACAAATTACACAAGGATGCATACATATAATCGATAATCTATACTTCTACTCACTCTGAATGCAATATCCATACTTACAACCTCTCAATCGAAATCTAACGGTTGACATCTACATCCTGGTAGAGAGAACGTTTCTTTTTTGGAAAATTATCAGTTATTGGATGAAGGCTGGCGAACAAAAACATTTATACTTCAAAAGAATACCTAAGTTACAAGACTAATCAATTAACAATATACCACAGGCAATATGATTCTCTTAAACGTAAAGTTGGGATGAGAGATTTGAAAGTGTCAAGGGCTTAAGGCTAAATTAGTTGGAGGGATATGAAAGACTAGATGCAATGCATTTAGAGGGATTTGTAAATGACTGCTTGAAGGGAGACATTTATAAATACTTTGTTTATGTGTGTAATGATCATGTAGTGCATTTTAAATGTCTATATCCTTCATCCAAACATAGGGTGAGAGAACTAGGAGTTTTAGCATACACAACTCACTGACATAGGACAATACAAATTAAGGCAAAACAAACAGTGTCAAAATCCAAAATGCCTTACTTCTTTGAGTCATTATGTGTGCATTATGCCCTTATCAGACTCCTTGCTTTTTTGTTTATGAAAACTCTGGGAAGACTATGAACATCGTGAGGAAAGAATATCTCCGCATAGAAATCCAAAAAGCCCCATAAGCGAAGCATTTCCAAATTTCTGAGTATACGAGCACAAGCATTGCAGGTGATCCTGAACCATGTGGCAAAACCTGTTTGCGACGTCTACATTAAACTCCTAAAAACAATGCCCGTATTGTAGGATTCTCACAGAACAACCTTGAAATAACCAAGAAGTATGGCAGACTTCCATAACGAGCGGAGATATAGAGCTCATGGTTCAGATTGATGCCTTGCATTGGACCTTCGGAAACCCTGAAATAAAATTAGAAAAGGAATCTTGTGACTTATTGCTCTTTTCTTAATTTATTCATATTTGTCCAGCCAATCAAAGTGGTAACAAGTTAGAAACCTTGATTCTAAGTTCCAAATGTAGAATATCAAAGCTCATAAGAATTAGAAACAAAGAGAAGATTTCAGAGAGTTTTACCTTCACTGGTTTTCTCCAACTCCCATTATTTCCATGTCAAATGGGGAAAAATCGTGTTTAATCCTTTCTTCTCATCGCTATTGAATGTCGATGTCAACTCGAGCTCAACCCTTTTCCATACCTCATCTAGAAAAGACGGTCCTGATTCAAAGATGAAGAAATAATGATTTATAAAGTGATCTTAATTACTTGTGCAAGTTTGACAATCTGGACCTTTTCCTTTTGTTATGATTCACGCATATAATCCATCGATAATGATCATGAAACAAGAAAAGAAAAGGAAACGTAAGTTACACTCCAGTATTCAACAACTTACGATGGAATCTGTAAGAGTGCAGCAGCCAGCCAAATTCACACGTTGTTTTTGTGCAGAAACATATCGGCACCTATGTAAAGATGACAGATGCAATGAAAGATGAGTAAGCATTCCACCGTATTCAAACCACAACAGTAAGAGGAAAAAAAAACATCATCAAGGAGTTACCTCGTCCTGTGCAGGAGAATCATATTGGTGTCATAGCTAGCCAGAGCACCCAATAACTTACTTGGTATTGTACGAAGTAATTTATGTAAGCAAACACTTGTTGCTATTGGATGATATTGTCCTGAAATTTAATTGATTGATTAATTAAACACAGTATAGCTGACAGTAAACAATTGAAGTGAAACTTTTACAGAATCTGAATCTCGTGTGTACGTACCTGACATTGACTTGAGATCTCAATTGATGATGACTTGCTTGCCTATCTTGATGCAAGGAATGTGAGCTATCTTGCTCCACTCTTCTCCCGTCTTCTCCTGACACCTCTTCATCAGAGAAGGACAGTTGTAGATGCGCAAACAAGAGAGCGATGCCAGCAAATCCTCTTTTGGCAGGAATTTGAGACTATCACACTCGTAAATTTGGAGCTCTTGAAGAGAAGTGAGGTGTTGAATTCCCTTTCCCTCCAAAGATTTCAGACTCGTAAATTTGGATGATAGCGTCCTGAAATTTAAACAAGTATGTTTTTTAATGGTGGTATAGTTGAGTTAAACAGTTGAAAAGTTAAAACTGATTGATTAATTAAACACTATATATAGATGACAGCAAACAATTGAAGTGAAACTTTTACATGATCTGAATCTTGTATGTTATTCTATGAAAAATGGTGCTATGTACGTACCTGACTTTGAGTTGAGATCTCAAATGATGACTTGGTCGCCTATCTCGATGCAAGGAATGTGAGCTATCTTGCTCCACTCTTCTCCTGTCTTCTCCTCACACCCGTAATACATGTGTTACACGCGAGATATTGACAAAACCCTCATTAATTATTTCCTCACTAACAAGGCGATAATTTTGCCAGGATCATACATCCAAGAATATGACAACCTGAGTACAAACGATTTGATTATTTTTGCATCCCAAATACCACATATCCTATGATTTCATCCAAAAACAGTTCAGAATATTCATCTAAAGAACTTAGTTATGAACAGAGGAGATCCACATGATTTTACGATGAAGTACAATTTGACAAAATAATTCATGATTTACATAAGAGTAAACGTGTTACCAGTACCACTGCAGCACTTGAAAGTTAAAGTATCACAAGCAGATAATAGGGGCCTTACTAGCTCCGCTTTTTTCCATGTGCCGGTTGACTCTTCCAACCATCCAATATTCCGGCCTTCCAATCCATTGATGATGTGGTCGAATCAACTAGTATATAAAAGTATGGCATTAAATATGAAAATGCAGAATGTGGCAGGGCTTATATCTCTGGTTTTATTAATCTTGTTATATACAGGTAGAAAACACTGGATATCTGGCAAAACATTTCCAGGATGAAGTTCACATAAAGTCCGTTTTTTCCCAGTTTGCATGAAATTCCTACTAAGTAGGTTTGTTCTGCTATAAGCAATAATGTACATGATCACACAACTGAGGTTCAGAGTTGTTACCAAGAAAATTTCTAACATACGACGGCCTACTCCAACCATCCTCTATCAAAATTAGGTTAAGGCGTATCATCAATTTCTCTGTGGCATCTTCCACCAAAACAGCTAATCAATCAGACAGTCGCCTCCGTAGGGGACGATCCTGAAGAATCCAAATAAAGGTACTTTATTAGATTTGGTATCAAAGTCGGATGTCATCTTACATATAGAAATTAGGAAACTTACCTTTTTGTCCTGCTACAACTTTAGATATTCAAGTGATTGCTAATAAAGTCCACAATGGTAGAAAAGAATGATGTAATGTCTTAATTCCTTCGGATCAGCTTCTGGGAGAATAAGATGTTCACAAGCTGTGACAAAGAAGCCTTAGCAGATGCAAGCTGAACGCCAGTGGAAAAATACCAAGTATCCTTATATATGTGCACTTAAGTTGGATTAGTTTTAAGTAGAAACTACATTCACTTCGGACAAAGTACCAGTCTTCTTTATACTTGATCTATCAATAAAGTTAGCAGCACGTGCTGCCTTCAAGAACAAATTCCCTGGTTGATCATGCTGAAATGGGCCAGAATGCGCCCTTCAAATTTTTTTAGATCTGTACAAACAGTAGACTATGAGACCAGATGTAGCTTAAGGTTAAAGCCTTGTACACGTCCGAAGATCAATTATGCATGTAAATAAAATTATATAAAGACAATGTCACACACAAACAAATGTACACAAAGATATATTTAATCTTTACCTTGACTCACTTTGAGCACAAAACCCATGCTTACAACTGCTCAATTGAAATCTCATGGTTGACATCCTAGCGCAGAGACCTTTATAAATACTTTGCTTATGTTGTAATGATCATGTAGTTCATTTCAAATATCTATATCTAAGGTTTTGTAGTTGATTTCTAACTAATTTATCCTAAATTCTTTAATACTTTCAAATCCCTCATCCAAACGCAGGGTGAGAGAAGTAGGAGTTTTAGCATACACAACTCATTGACATAGGACAATGCAAATCAAGGCGAAAAAAAACAGATCTGTCGACATGATAACACAAGTCACCTCACCTCCACTAAAACGGCTTGCGAAGTCATTATGTGTGCATTATCAGATTACTTGCTTTTAACCTCTGGGAAGACTATGAAGATCATGACGAAGCATTTTCAAAATTTGAGTATATGAGCACAAGCATTGCAGGTGATCCTGAGCGATGTGTCAGAACCAGTTTGCAACGTCTACATTAAACTCCTGAAAACAATGCCCATATTGTAGGGTTCTCACAGAACAACCTTGAGACAACAAACAAGTAAGGCAGACTTCCGTACTGAGTGGAGAGATAGAGCTCATGGTTCAGAGTGATGCCTTGCATTGGTCCTTCAGAAACCCTGAAATAAAATTAAAAAAGGAACCTTGTGACTTATTGCTCTTTTCTTAATTTATTCATATTTGTCCAGCCAATCAAAGTGGTAACAAGTTAGAAACCTTGATTCTAAGTTCCAAATGTAGAATATCAAAGCTCATAAGAATTAGAAACAAAGAGAAGATTTCAGAGAGTTTTACCTTCACTGGTTTTCTCCAACTCCCATTATTTCCATGTCAAATGGGGAAAAATCGTGTTTAATCCTTTCTTCTCATCGCTATTGAATGTCAATGTCAACTCGAGCTCAACCCTTTTCCATACCTCACCTAGAGAAGACGGTCCTGATTCAAAGAAGAAGAAATAATGATTTATAAAGTGATCTTAATTACTTGTGCAAGTTTGACAATCTGGACCTTTTCCTTTTGTTATGATTCACGCATATAATCCATTGATAATGATCATGAAACAAGAAAAGAAAAGGAAACGTAAGTTACACTCCAGTATTCAACGACTTACGATGGAATCTGTAAAAGTGCAGCAGCCAGCCAAATTCACACGTTGTTTTTGTGCAGAAACATATCGGCACCTATGTAAAGATGACAGATGCAATGAAAGATGAGTAAGCATTCCACCGTATTCAAACCACAACAGTAAGAGGGAAAAAAAACATCATCAAGGAGTTACACAACTCACTGACATAGGACAATACAAATTAAGGCAAAACAAACAGTGTCAAAATCCAAAATGCCTTACTTCTTTGAGTCATTATGTTTGCATTATGCCCTTATCAGACTCCTTGCTTTTTTGTTTATGAAAACTCTGGGAAGACTATGAAGATCGTGATTCGTGAGGAAAGAATATCTCTGCATAGAAATCCAAAAGGCCCCATAAGCGAAGCATTTCCAAATTTCTGAGTATACGAGCACAAGCATTGCAGGTGATCCTGAACCATGTGGCAAAACCTGTTTGCGACGTCTACATTAAACTCCTAAAAACAATGCCCGTATTGTAGGATTCTCACAGAACAACCTTGAAATAACCAAGAAGTATGGCAGACTTCCATCATGAGCGGAGATATAGAGCTCATGGTTCAGATTGATGCCTTGCATTGGTCCTTCGGAAACCCTGAAATAAAATTAGAAAAGGAATCTTGTGACTTATTGCTCTTTTCTTAATTTATTCATATTTGTCCAGCCAATCAAAGTGGGAACAAGTTAGAAACCTTGATTCTAAGTTCCAAATGTAGAATATCAAAGCTCATAAGAATTAGAAACAAAGAGAAGATTTCAGAGAGTTTTACCTTCACTGGTTTTCTCCAACTCCCATTATTTCCATGTCAAATGGGGAAAAATCGTGTTTAATCCTTTCTTCTCATCACTATCGAATGTCGATGTCAACTCGAGCTCAACCCTTTTCCATACCTCATCTAGAAAAGATGGTCCTGATTCAAAGATGAAAAAAATAATGATTCATAAAGTGATCTTAATTACTTGTGCAAGTTTGATCATGAAGCATTCCACCGTATTCAAACCACAACAGTAAGAGGAAAAAAAAAACATCATCAAGGAGTTACCTCGTCCTGTGCAGGAGAATCATATTGGTGTCATAGCTAGCCAGAGCACCCAATAACTTACTTGGTATTGTAAGCAAACACTTGTTGCTCTTGGATGATATTGTCCTGAAATTTAATTGATTGATTAATTAAACACAGTATAGCTGACAGTAAACAATTGAAGTGAAACTTTTACAGAATCTGAATCTCGTATGTACGTACCTGACTTTGATTTGAGATCTCAAATGATGACTTGGTCGCCTATCTCGATGCAAGGAATGTGAGCTATCTTGCTCCACTCTTCTCCCGTCTTCTCCTGACACCTCTTCTCCAGAGAAGAAGAGTGCCAGATTCTCAGACAACGGAGCGATTCCGGCAAACCCTCTTTTGGCAGGAATTTGAGACTATCACACTCGTAAATTTGGAGCTCTTGAAGAGAAGTGAGGTGTTGAATTCCCTTTCCCTCCAAAGATTTCAGACTTTTCATTCCAGAGATTTGGAGAGTGTGAAGAGTGGTAGGGAGCAGCTGTTCCTCGAGCACCGCCACCAACACATCCTCGCTTCTCCAGATCGTAAATGTTCGAAGGGAGACAAGTCGTTGCAAACCCCAGTACTCCACTGAAGGCCTCAGTTTCTCACAACCGCTGATTCCAAATGATTGTAGGTTGGGAGGCAAACCTCCTTCTGCAAATGACTCAACATTTGGACCATCAGATATCCACAAATCTCGAAGGGCGGTGAGGGTGTGTATTCGATCGGGCAATAACTTCAAATTCTTGCAATTACCGACTGTAAAACTAGCCAGGTTGGGAGTGGGCAACCTTCTCCAATGGAAAGAGACCAGATTTGGACAAGAATAGATACAGAGAGCACCGAGATGAGTGAGATTTTCAACATCAGCTCCTTCTCCAATGGAAAGGGATTCTAGATTTTCAATGCCGTAGAATTGAAGAGATGAAAGTTTGGGGAAAACGCCCAGCGGGAAGGACCTCAGTGAATCACAGCTGCCGGTCAAATCCAAATGTTGAAGGGATGTCAATTTGGCCATCATCTCATGAGATAGGAATTCTAATCTCCTGCAATTAATTATCTCAAGAAATGTCAATGTAGTGGGTAGACCATTTCTAGGGAACGACAAGAGGGACCCGCAATCACGGAGAGTCAATTTTTGAAGACGACTGCTCAGGTGCGGCTGCAAGCAATCTGTGCGACTCAAAATTTGAATATCAAGCCCGGAAAGCGAGGACAGCGACTCCGTCTCTAGTAACGACGAGAGACCAGGGCATCCTCTTATTCGCAGATCCTGAAGAGATTGTCGCAAGGACTCCGTCTCTAGTATCCATCTACTTCTAGTAGCCCTTTCATGCAGAACCCCACAATCCAACACTTCAAGCTTTTTCAAGCAAGGAAGATGATCGGGCAAGTTTCCCCTCAGCTTCGGACAATTCTCTAAAACCAGCTCCTCGAGACGAGGAAAGTCCGGACATTGACCTCTACCTGGACTTCGCAGCCATTCTTCCCATTCTGGCATATCTCCAAATACCAGCTTCTCTAAAGAACGAAATGGCTGAATTAGAGAAGTTCCATTGACACCATAAAACTCAGCACCAATACCCATAACACATTTCATGTTGCTAATATAGAGCTCCTTAAGAGCAGGCAACTGCCCAACTGGTGGCAACGACCAACAATTACTAAAACCACAAAGGCACATGACTTTTATGTTGGAGAAGGAAGAGTCTCCCAACCAATTCGGAAAGCTTGTTCCACCATAACATCTAATGGCCAGTTCCACCAAATTTACAGAAGGTTGTAATCTTTCAAGTACATTTCTCTCTTTTATGGAATCATCTGCATCCTCTCTACCCCATGCCAACTCTATTTGATTGAGATCTTTCTTATCCTTCAAATTGGCCCGCAAGACATCCATAGCATCGACTACATTCTCTAGATTCAAGATAGAAAATTTCCCTCCAAGATTGGGTAACTCCCCCAATTCCCCAATGCCGCCAGACCTAGTAGATGTCCCCAACACATAAGCAGTGAGTGTTCTCAAACTTTTTAGTCTGCCCATTCGCACCGGCATCTCTTTTATACCAGTATATCCAATATCAAGATGGCGCAGATTAATCAGTTTCCTCATGTCTACAGGCAATTCAACAAGAGAGGTACAACCTACCAACAATAAAGTTTGCAAATTGTAGAGACTACTCACGGTATCTGGTAACCTTTCAATTGCAGTGTAAGAGAGGTCAATGTAGCGCAAATGTATGTGGTTACCAATGCAATCAGGTAAGCTACTGATGTTCTTATATCCTGCCAATGATACTGCCCGTGAACATTTTAGCGTTGGCAACAAATCATTTGGAACCTTACTACTTACATAGTAATGCCCATATTCGTACCTTAAAGACATGGGTAAGAAGGTGCGCAAATATTTAACTCCATTTAATGGTTGAAACTTTTTAGCGTCATTAAATCTTCCTTTCGCATATGACAAATGTCGAACTCTTTTAGGAACTTCATGATCCTTCCTCATCCATCCTAAAACAAAATTCTCTAGACACGAACAAAGCCAAGTCATTAATGAGATCATGCATTGTGAATCCATGCTCCTCAGTTCTTGATCTTTGAATTAGTGATCGTGATACTAATTCATTAAAATAGTTCTTGCCAACCTCCTCCATTATTTCCTTGCCCTGCGCTTGTGAAATTAAACCCGCTGCCATCCAAAGTCGAACTAAATTATCCTTCTCAAATTCATAGTCCTTGGGAAAAATTGAGCAATAAGCAAAACATTGTTTTAAATAAGTAGGGAGGTAATGAAAACTCAATCTTAAAGATGGAAGAATACTAATCTCTTGTTGTAGTTCCCAAAGATTGCTATTCAATAAATGATTCCATTTCTTGTGGTTCATGTTGCAACTTAAGAGACCTCCAAGTGTTTTCGCAGCTAAAGGGAGACCATTGCACTTACGTGCAATTTTTTTTTCCAATTTCTTCCAAGTCTGGATGTGCACTAGGGTTTTCATTTCTAAACGCATGTTTTGCAAGTAACAACCAACAATCATCATGCGACAATTGTTCTAAAGATTGAATAGGAACAGTGTGCACGATGGATGCAACACTTTCGTTCCTTGTTGTCACAATGACCTTACTTCCCCTCGCCCCATAAGTGAAAGGAGCTTTTAGAACACTCCAATCGTTATAATTGTCATTCCAAAGGTCATCCAACACAAATAGATATCTCTTTCCCATTACATGTTCCCTAAGATCAACTTGAAGCAAGCTCATATCTGACTTATCACAGGGTTTTGAAGCAATTGACTGAAAAAGGGTTTTAGTGACCCTAAAAGCATCAAAATCTTCGGAGACACACGCCCAAGCTCGAACATCGAAATGCTCTTTCACACTGTCATTATTGTAAAGGAGCTGAGCAAGGGTTGTCTTACCAACTCCTCCCATTCCCACTATCGGGATTACAGATATATTGCCGCCGCTTGCATCATCAGATAGCAGCAGTGTTTTCAACTTCGCTTCATCTTCATCCCTACCGTAAGTAGAGAATTCATGCTCAACGAAGGAAGTTGTGGGAGTTCTTTGTGAAACCTTAACCCCGACACCTTCTCTAAGACCGAGCACATCTGTCTGTTGTGCAAGGTGTTCCAACCTTTGAAATAAGGTTTGTATCCTACCATTCATGCCTTGATAAAAAGGATTAAGAGAAGTAGAGAGGAAGTTCCACACCTGGGTTTTCTTAGTTGAAAATTCAGCTTCCACCTTGCTTCGCAAAACTTCAGTATCGATCTCGTCCAGCAGGTCCTCGGCATCGAAGACAGCATGTTTGAGCTCGTCAAGCCACTTTCCCACACGGTGTTTCTCCATCTGCTTCTCCTCTGCATCATCAAGCACTGCATCAAGGGCCAGAAACCTCAGCTTCAGTTTCTCCAGGAGTGAATGATCAAGTTTTTTTCCCCGGAAGAAGTCCATCAACTCCCCAGAACCGATCTTGTCGCACAACGTCCGAATGGAAGCAGAGAGGAATGCCTCTCCAATCAAAGCTCCTGCCATCTCTCTCTGTTTTTTTTTTTTTTGGAACAAAGTATAAATTTCAAAGAAGTGTTCCGGTGAGGAACTATAAGAGCTTTTATGGTTTATTGTAATCTCAATTTTGTTTCAGAAAGAGATGTCTTGATTTATTTTAGGTCAATAATGCAGGGGGCCTCACACGTTCCTAAAAAAAAGTTGTTTCATTAATCATTGTTTTTTATATAATTTAATAGGTTGTCTTGTTTTGTTTTGGGAAAGGTAGTTTCCTAGTAGTTGGTGTGGAAATTCTGGGTTGGGTGACTTTTGTTTTATTCTTCTTGTATGTGTTTTTCATAGATTCTTTCCAGGATATTCCACCAAATATGAAATCTTTGAAGATGTCAAACTCTTTCGTGTATTACTTTGTGGAGAATTAGGTACTTCTGTGAGTGACAAATTTTTATTAGATAATGTCAGGAATGCTAAATTTATAAACAAAATTTTAAAAACTAAATGACATTGAAATTGATGATTAGATCATTACTTAAACGTTGATAAACGTGCTCATTTGACATATCATTTAGTTTATAAATTTTATCTATAAATTTTGTCTCTCTAACATTACCTTTTTTTTACTGCTGCTCCTTTAGACACTACAATGTTTTCGTATGGACTTCTTTTTCTAGCTCGCATAGGTTCAACATTTAAGGCTGCTGAGTTAATCATCACTCAGACTCGTGTTGATTTCTTTGAATATACTGTGGCATTTTCCTCTGCTTTAGAACCATTAAACAGTTTATGATGGCAAAGTGTCTCTGTAAACTAAAACAAAGAACTAGGTTCGTAATCATATACTCAATCCATTATGTCTTCTCACTACTCGAGCTCAAAATTAATAGTTAATTTATGTGCCTTGGGATGTTAATTCATATTTGAGTCGATACTAGAAGTCGTGTTCGTGTATGATTTTTCATTTAATTGGATTTATTTTTGCTTACCACTTTTAAGTTGTGAAGAGGTTAGAATGTCCGGAATACGAAGCAGAACACCATATGTTATTATACAATTAAAAGTAATTTTTTAAGTATTTCTTCAATTATGTGATGACGTATGATGTTCTTCCAATTAAATAAATAAAATAGATAGAAATAAAAATTCTTGCATGGTCTCCGTAGTCTAATCAAATAAGTAAAGAAAAGGCAAACGGGAACCAGTAGCAGGAAGGAGGAAGCTAACAATTGACATTAATTAATCCATATTTCTTCTGCAAAATGCTCTGCTACTCTACTTTAAGGTCAGCTATGAGTCCCTCATTTTGGTCGTTGACGTAGTGTGCATTATGCGCATACCTCACTATGCAGTTTGTAATATTGCCACCGATTTTCCAATTCAACCTACCAACGAAGCAGCTTCCTACTTACTACCTTTCCAATGTGAATGTGATAAAATAGAAGGATTAAAGTTGAAACGAAATTTTATCTCTCTTTCATTGCAACTCTATTTGGTTAGACAATATGTTTTTTTGTTATTGATGCGTTACTTTTTTGTATACTAAATGTATTCATAAATCTCATGATCTAGATGGGCCAAATCATCGTCACATCATATTATTATTAGTTAGGAACAATTTAGCTATAAATATTCACCTTTTTTTTCGGTTACATAATAAAATGATTCTCTTGGACACATCACTTTTCTTTCTCTTTTTCTTTTTTTGTGAGAAAAATAAAAACAAGCACATCACGTAAAGTGTACGGATGAAACACAATTCCTTTTACATAAAAACTTATTAATTAGCTCTACAAATCTGCACGAAATCAAATTAACCACTAGTATGCCATCAAATGTACATGTTTGGATTTTTATTTTTATACAACAACATATATACACTATAAATTGACACCCAAAAAAACCCATAAAACACCATAAAAGAATGTGAAGCACATAAAAAAATGCTTTTCTCTCTGGATCAGGATCCTCTCCTGAGCAAATGGAGATGATCCTCCTGACCGTGTACATCGGACCGTTCAAATGTTATCCAACGGTTACAATTATTATAACTTTTAGTGAAGCCCCCTGTTTGTAGCCGTTGGATAAATTTTGAACGGCCCGATGGGCCCGGTCAGGAGGATCCTCTCCATTTGCTCAGGAGAGGATCCTGATCCTTTCTCTCTACCTACAAAGTAGTTTCCTAAATACTAACTATTTTTCGTTGTGATCGGAATACGGTTGGTACATCATGTGTTTTTATATAAGTGGCAGAAAATTTGATTTTTTAAGTTATTAAATTTTTAACACACATATCTCATTATTTATATAGTGACACGTGATGTACTACCCCATGTACCGATCACACTGAAAAATCTCTTGTGAATGTGGTCAAGTTGAAAGATAGGGGCCTTCTTGGGAACTACATTTCAAAAGTGGATATTAATTTAAGGGTAATGTTAGGAAAGTTAAATTTGTAAAGTAAATTACATGAAAGTTAATGATTATATTATTACATGAATGTTGATTAACGTGTTTATTTTTTAATGATGACACATTAATTACTTTACAAATTTAATCTCTTCACATGACTTTTAATTTAAAGGAGATGAAGTTTCATTGCAAGCTGCTACTTACTACTTTCGATGTAATAGCCACAACCGATTGAAAAATATTGTTTGTTGGCACGCGATCTTTAATTTAACAAAGAATTTGTCTTATTAATTTGTTTTGTTTTACTTTTTGGAACTTTTTGTTTCTCTTACCAGTGACCAACTCATTATGATTTGTCTGTATTTTTTTAAGTTGAAACATCTCATATATAAGTTGAACAAAGTTTATTTTCCAATGCATTTGAAAATTTGTTTACTTTTTTAGGTGTAACTTTATGATAGCAGGGGAGGCTGAGTGGGTTGGGCAGATAGGGTTGTGGACCGACCAACCCTAGCCTATAATATAGGTCAAGTGTAGATTTGTAGGGCTCTAGGCATTAGGTGGTAGGTAGCTTAGGCAGAGATTGACCGTTTGCCTGGATTGATTAATTAAACCTATTTACGCAAACCCTAAACGCCAAACCACAAATCCAACTTTCAAGTATGAATCATGTCAAATGTCCCAACAGAGCTGCCCTTCGACATTTTCCTCCATCCCAAGGATTTGGTAACACGCCACACCAGGATCCTCTCCTATAAAAAAACTAAGTCTGCTGAGCAGGCGATCGTGGTCATTGAAATTTAATCTAACAGCTATAATTATTATAATTTTAGAGGATCTATCTGTTTGTAACCATTAGATTAAATTTCAACCACCACGATCACCTACTTAGTAGACTTAGTTTTTTAAGATCATGAGAGGATCCCGATCCATAAAAAATCACAGCTTACACCCAATTTTTTTTTTAATTTTTGTTTTTAAGTTTTCTTTAGCGTC